CATTATCTATGATGCTACAGATATCATCTGAGATGTTACAGGCATCAAATGAGATGCTACAGATACTGTGTACACGGACATGTGCATGGGTCGTGGGTCTTTGGGAGCGCTTCCCCCCGTGAATTTGCGGCATCGATAATTGCATACTTGAATTCAACTTTCAAGTTTGACATGTATGAAACTCTTCATGCAAGCTACTGTATATGAGACTTTTAAATGGATATCGTTTCATGACAAAAAGACATTAAAAATTTAATAGCCCTGACAAGTTCAAGTTCTTTTAGGGTATTCACTGGAATGTTTTGTAGTACCCATAGGCAAAATAATCATTGAAACTGAAGGAGGACATCTAAAGATGTTCTCTCATTAGTGTAATCATTTTTCACTTTTATCATTGAACATATCGAACTAGAATTTCAACTTCTTAATAGACTATTCGACGTTGTTTTCATTGCGTCATTGGAGCTCTGCAGAAGCACTTAGTAATATTATAAAGAATTTTTTTTTTTTTCGAAAATATCATAAGAATAACTAGATTAATGTGTCGGACTAAGAACCCAAGTCATTACGTGACATCGACGGTATAATACAGAATCTCTGAGGTATCTGACGCAAGTTATCAGAACATAAAGATAGTCTCGTCCGTGTATGATAAACAATTCTAATATCCAAGAAAGAATGAACAATCCACGAGTGCATTACTCTATAACTGCAAAAAGTGAGACTTAATATCAGTGTCTTATCCAGCATGAGGTCCGAGAGAGCGGCATCCCTCCGAAGATCAGGTTGGTTCTCTCGAAGTTTACGGTTACTCTACCACGTACTATGTGTCTGTGCTTCCAACAATAGATGTTCGCCCTTTCGGAAGAGAAAATCTGGATAAAACATTGCATGATATGAATAATTATTCATGAATTTTGTTTTCTTTCATCTCCATTATCAACTCACAGATTGTGAGGGAGAGATCAATCTGACTATATTTTATACCTACATTATTATTCCTTATTTAATACATACCAGTAATTTGTTGATGTGTTTGAAGAATGGCATTTGTACCGGGTGTATCAACAATATTTGTTTGTTTTAACCATTCATTTGGTAAATATATTGATTTAATATGATCAGATTCGATAACATCTTTACGTTTTGTTCCATATTTAAGTATTTGTATAATATCAGTTGTAGGTAAAACACCAGTTGGACATATTTCTTTTTCACCGAGTAATGTATTTATAAATTGAGATTTACCAGAATTAAATTCACCAACAACAACAAGTAAAAATATTGATTCAATATTTGTTTGAGCTTCATTAAGAAGTTTCTTATCAGGAGCAGATAAAAGTGTTAAATCAGTTTGAACATTAATTAAAAGATTTTTAATACGTTTAACAAGTTCATGATGACTATGATCGAGTAATGGAAGATTGGGATTCTTTAGATAGAAGAGAAAAATATTGATTTTAGTTTAAAATTATAATCAAACAAAAAGAAAAACCTATTTTCACAAGTTTTTTCTTTCTTTTGTGATGATTTCGATATTTATCATTTAAATAAAAATCGACTCTTTTTTTATTTAATATCATGGAGTTGCTTATGAGCTGGTAGCTTAATCATTAAAAAGTTCTAGAGGAGGGTGTGGAGCCATGGTGTGCAATGTTCACTCTCGGCAATGTCTTTCTTTTGCACATCATTCAGAAAATCACTTTTAAGAAAAAGAGAACTTGTCGATAAAAAACACTCGAGTGGAATCCTGCTGGGATTTATTCAAGGAAATTTTTGGTTAGGAAATGTCTTGTATGATACATCATCCGATGTAGTTTCGTACCCTAATTCCGAATATTACCATTGAGTTTCAATAGAAATGCTTTAGAATCTGAAAAAAAGAAAAACATGTCTCAATGTATATTTATCACTATTTGAATGAATGAAAGGATGACTCGCATTCTGCCACCTAATGTCCATCTGGATGCACACTGTGATGGATCAGCCCACTGAACACATCCGTAGAGGAAACGAAGACCATCTAATAAACTTCTTTTTAATCGAACATAATCGTTAGTACGGTGGCTGAGCCTTCTCTAGTTGTACCACTAGTATGAATCCATGATAATCGGGTTTTGTTATATGACTAGCTATTCTTACTAGTGGTCTATACGGATACGACTTTTAGCAATCAGAACCGAATCGATACTTCTCTTTTTATATCTGAGTCTGAACTGGACCCAGTACTCGACCGGAGCTGATCGCCATCCGACAGATACTTTCACAGTCATAGTACGATTTTCAAATTTTTGTTTTATATGAAAAAGACACTATATAGTTTCTTCTATGAATATTAACAAAAAAAAAAGAGATCATCTCAAATTCCGAAAAATCGCAAGTGATTCAGGATTCACCTGATATCTTTCTTCTTCTAAAATCCGATCAATTTTGCCAAGTATATGTTTGCTTGTTGCTGATAACGCTGAAATGAAACACAGTGTTGGTATCAAACGTCATAATCGTGGATACATGTATGAACGCTTTTTTTATAACTAATTTTCCTTTTCATGTATTCAGTTACTTCATCATATGATTTATCATCACCATCATCTGTAGATGAATTTTCATTAAAAACGAATTCTTTTAGTAAAATTAAATTAGCAATTTGAAAATGTCGAGATCTCATTAATTGTCAGATCGGACCCGATTATGAGATCATACCCAGATCCATGCTCCTGGCTGGATTGGGCGCCGAGTAGAGATCTACAGGCCCAATCTTTTATTTTTTGTTGGATTTGATCACACATTTTTGTGGACTCTCCGGACCCCAGATGAGAAATCCAGCAACAAGATATAATTGTACGTTGAATTTTTTTCTGAGAGTAGCGAATAAATAGCTGAAATCTTGATCCTTCACTTGTTCATGTACACGAAGAGTGTCAGGTATTGATGGAGAAAATCTCGGGTTTGGAACCAGACCCTAGGTCCAAATTTTTAATTTTTTCCGGTCTGAGCCCCCAAAAACGTGGATCCGCGGCTCCTTAGTATCCAACCGTGTTGCAAGGCATTAATTCTTACCATAAGCACATGCAAATAACAACAAAAACTGGTTATCACTGTACATTCATCATATCGACTATTTTTAGAATCGTGACTAACAATGTTAATTTTCTGTTAGATCAAAATGATTTATCATGTCTATTCACTAGGTGAAATCAATAATACACTATCATCATTATATTTCTTAATGTTTGATTTTGAAAGCATTGTTATTCTACTTACAACATTCGAATCACTCAAATGAGATGAAAATTTTCGTTGATATATAATAATTGATCGTAGATTAAAATAATTATTCAAACGATATCGAATAATTTGTTGTCGACATAGAGATAAACATAATGACATACTGGATTTAATTGTTTATATTATCCGAAAGAAAACAAAAAACAAAAAAGAAATTATTTAACAAAAAAACAAATTCAATGAATTTTATTGTTTTCTTTTTTTCATTTCATTCAATATCATCTATTCAAACGAAGAAAAAGGAATCATATAAAAAGATTATTTTCTTTTTCCAACAACGGTCGGAGATATATGAGATCATTAGATTTTTTTCTTTTCAAAGAATATCTGACAGATACATAACACTACTGACTAAAAAAAAAGAACAGAATACGAATGAGCCAAACAAAGTCGTGAATAATAATACTAATAAGAAAAAGAAAAAAAAAAAAAAAAGCGTAAACAAAATGTCTTTTTTATTTTTATTTACACACTACTTTCATGTAGTATGATTTGATTTGTATCAAGAGCACCATTAGGAAAATCATTTGAAAAAGTTGATGATGATGATGATGATGATGAAGATGATAATATTTCTGAACGTTCTTTTCTTGATAAAATAGGTGATGTTGTACTTGATGATGTTGCTGTTGTTGAATTACATGTTGATGATTTAAGTGAAACACTACCTTCATCATCTTCATCAATATATGCAACATGTGAATGATTACCATTAATTGGTTTTTTCCAAATTGATGGTTTTTCTTTTAAAGAATTTTCTTGTTGAATTAAATGAGTATTTTTATTTAAATAAACATATGTCGCATGACGTTCTTCAGTTGATGGTGATGGCATAATACGATATGAATTTCTTCCTGTATTTAAATCAATTATTGGATTTATATGACCATTTGCTATTATGGTTGAAGAAGAATTTATTGTAATTGGACTTGAAAGAATTTTATTTGTACTTGGTGACGAAAGACGTATTATAGGTAATGGACGAATAATTGCCTGAGATGGTGATGCTTGTGGTCGAGGTGATATTGGTAATGTTGTTGGACGAATAAATGGACGAGATGTAGCAACAGAAGGTAAACGAAACTATATAAAAAAAAATATTTGAAGTATTTAGAAAGTTCTTCTGTTTTTTAAAAGATTTACTCGTGCATTTTCATTTTGTATTATATGATTTTCTTTTGGACTATTAATTGACCTTTTAGGTAATGAATCATATGATGAATGACTTTCTGCTTGTTGACTATCAATAGGTGTTGTTAATCTAAAGAAAAATAAATTAGAAAATATTAATTAACATAAAACAAGATTGACTCATTGATAGCAATTCGAATATTGTTATCTTTTTAAAAACAATAAAAGAGAGACAACAATGGTAGAGAACTTATTGACAAGAAACCAGACGGCAACATCTTGAAAAACTGTTTTGAAACGTTGGAAATTTTTAAAAGTCAAATATATATTTTTGTGTCCGGGCGATGGCGGTATTTGGAATCTTCAACAACTATTGTAGATAACGACAGCGGTGCGATTGAATCGCTTGAGCGCCAGCGGCTCACATCTATATCTTCGTGCATTAAGGATTTCTCTTTCAAATCTCATGAAAAAGATTTGACAACACTTATCGCTACGACTTAATCGGGCCGAATTTTTCAAAACTTCTTTTATTATGAAACACTGGATTCTGTTCATTAAAAACCTCTCCGAACTTTCTAACATGTAAAACAGTCTAGCTAACGTAAGCATACTAAAAAGAAATCAAATTTTTTGTCCACAATAAACCCGTACAAGAATATTGGTTTGGAAGATAACAAAGTATGTTTAGTTTACATTCGCCGATATATACTAATCATATTCTTCATGTTACAAATCTATATCGAAGCTTAAATGACTGTAGCTCGCAAATCGCCCTTTAAATTACGAGTTTTCACGAAACTCTACAAATACCATCGTAAAACTCATAGTGTATTGAGATCTATGAAGAAATTCGCAATTGAAGATAAATCAAAGAATTCAAGATGACTATCTCTATTAAATTCATAACTATATCCACTTAAATATAATACTTACTCCTGTTGAATAGTATTTAATGTTGAATGATGTAATGAATCATTTTGTTGTAAACTTGTTTCACTAGTTGACATACTTGTTTTAAGTATATGTCTATGACGTGCATAATATTTTGATGCAATATTTGTTTGACGTTTTGAACCATATGGTAAACCATTAGACATTGTTGTTATTTCATCATTTTGTGGTATTTGATATTGATATATACTTGATGAATAATGTGAATGTGGTGGTGATGGTGTAGGTATTTGTTCAGTAAATGATTCATCATTAATTAAATTTTCATTTAATATAATTTTATCTTGATTATTACCATTTGATGATGATGATGGTATTAATGGATGTGTTGGTAATGATGGAGATTGTTGAGGTGTTTGAGGTGGTGGTGGTGGTTCATTATATGATTGATTTAATAAACGTTTTTTCTTATGTTTTCTAAAACAAATATTATATTGACAATGCATTGTTAAATCTGAACGTGTTAAAACATAAAATGCAAGTATATAAACACCCAAAATTAAAACAAAAAATCCATATAAATGATTATAAATTGAATGTTCTAAACGTATATTAAATGAATGTAATGGATGTAAATATATAGATAAACTTGTTAGAAATATTAAACTTAATAAAATTAATTGAAATAATATTGATAATAATTGTTTTGATGGTTGATGTTGATGATCCATATCAGATGAACATAAACTATCTAAATGTGATTGATGACAATCAATATGTGGTAATATTTCATTTTGATTTTTATTATCTGATGGCATTATAATTGGTAAAATTTCATTTGGTTTTGATGATAAAATATTATCATTTATTTCAATATTATTTGTTTCAGGTTCTATTTCATTTTCATCTGGTAAATTACGTAAACGTATAGCTTCTTTTGTTAAACGTTTTATATTAATACGAGCAGATAATAGAAATATAAGTAATAGAAAAATAAATATTATTAATGGAATAAATAATGTTAATAATGATTCAAAATTATTTAAAAAACAGCTAAAATTATAAAAATAAAAATAAATTATGATTTTAAATTTAAAACATATATGAAGTCTTGGTTCCTGCTGAATTAGAAAAATATTGTTATTTGTCAATACTCGAATTGACGCTGCTTCATGGCAGAGTTGGAACTGGTTGAAATTTTTTCAACTAAAACGGATCGATCAATTTAACTGATGAAAAACCTGCTTGTTTATATATCAAGCAAGAAATTACATGTTTTCAGCAAGAGCTTCTTAGTAAAGTTTGATAAAAGAATTAAGCAAAATTTTTCTGTTAACTGACCCCGGGTTCGAAAATGCTGGACCCGATGGGCTCTGCGTACAATACATGCTAATACTAAGAAGTAAAGGAAAACTGTTTATGTGGTACTTTTCAATATACAACAATATCTGTGTCTTATTTTAGATGGTTTTTTTCAATATATCTATCAACAACAAAACGACTGCGAATCATATTTTTGATCTAAAATATAAAGTTTACGGTCAGAAGAAGTTTTCTTGGATATATATGAATAGTACAAATGTAGACCTTTATAATACAAATAAAAGTTTAATATGAAGATACCAAAGATGTTCATCGCGGCTGAGAATATACCACTGTCGCGATGGTTTTCAAAAAGTCTTTCGAAAATCTCTGTCAGTACTGTACTGAACTAGGACTGTTGATACGAATCCATGAAGTTTTGCAGTGTCTTCTAAACAAGAACCTGCCACCATGGACATCTCTGGAAGATACAAAGTATCGATATACTGTCTCAGTCTTTTTAATAGATGCTTGAATAGCATTTAATAATAGGCCATTGCAAGCTTCATCAATCGCATTCTTTAACTTATAATATACCATTGAACTGATCTGGAACATTAGCAAGCAAAAAATTAAAATCAAGAATCCAGAGTCACAATGTGAACTAGAGAATGCAGTTAATGAAGCTTGCAATAGCCTATCATTAAATGTTATTCAAGCATGTATCAAAAAGATTCAGACAATATATCAATACTTTGTATCATTATATTTAACTTTTATTTGTGCTATTCATATATATATATAAAGTGGATCGCAAAAGTTTAAAATACTTTTATTTTTGAAGTTTTTCATCGAAGATGAGTAGCTAGGTCAAATCCAAATAGTGATTTGGATAGCTCTTGAAATTCTCTATCGAATAAAATATCTCTCAAATCTTCAAAAGAAACTTTTCCAGAAAACTATGCCAAGAGGATTTCAAGTTCTAGAAGATTTTGATAAAAAGATTTTTCAATATAAGCATCGGAAACAGCAGCAAATTCTGAACAAAATCAAGGGTGGCTCAGCTCTCTACGATATTCCCTCACAAAGTTGTAAGCATTAGAAAAAACGCCTTAAAATTCGATTAAAACCACATTTTTCGTTCTTTCTAAAAAAATAAAAGTGTCTTAAACTTTTGCGGTCCACTTTATATCCAAGAAAACTTTTTTTGATCGTAAAATCTATATTTTAGATGAAAAATACGATTCGCAGGCGCTTTGTCATTGGCTGAGACTTCTTAGCGACGAAAATTTCATATTAAAACGAATTTTTTTGGTGTTCTTTATGCAATTAGAAAATTGTCTGAGACCTGCTGGCCATGAAGAGTTTCTGACAAGCAGTACAGAAGTGAGCATGAAATTTTCAAATGGGAAATTTCTAATATAGACAGAATTGGTAACTTTTCATGACTATTGTGAATGTATTCAATATGCTACGAAACCACTCGTTCAATAGTGGGAAACTTCAGGTCAATATCAGGAGCTACAATGTAGATGCCGACTAGAAATTTATCGATTCAAACTACAAAAATCGACAAAAACAAGCAAAGATATACTAGCTTCAGTACTCCTAAAAGTAATAAAAAGGTTAGCCAGTTCCAAGTCTGTTTCATGATGAAGTCGAATATTTGCTCCGATTAAAACATAAATTCTCATGTAACTATAAGTTTTTCAACTACATTAAGGAATATATGTAGGCTTCTAGAAAAAGAGAATCTGATGATACAAACATTATTA